TACCCTGTTTAAAAATTCACTTACGCTTAAAGGAACACTTGTACATGGAGGAGACCAGAACACTCTTAGTGTGTTCTCAATTAAAACAACCTGAAAACCTTGCACTTTCCCTGGTATACCACGTGGAACTACAATATCAACAATTTTAACATATCTAAATATAATGGCATTATTATATGAAAACTATACGTAATTGTTTAGGTAATGTATATGAGTAAAAATGAATCTGGCAGATTATATTTTACATGACATAACTTACGTTTGGATTCTTCTGCACAAGGCTTTTTAGTTGTAGTTATTGTCGTTGTTGACGTAGATTTCTGTGTTGTTGGTCGTGACGTACTAGTGAATGTTGATGACATAGCAATGGAAGATGGACGAGTTATTATCTGAGAATGTGTCATGTGATCGGAAGTTTTTGTTTCTTTAGTAGTAGTAATAGTTGTAGGAGTAGTTTGATCTATCTGCTTCCATACTGGCAAGGGCGGATCTCCTACAGATGATTGATGTTATAATTATAACTCAGGTATTAAATGACCATTGAGCACTCCAGCAAAATATTGGTTTTTTACAGATGGGTTCTGTTCTTACCATTCTCACAACCATACAACTTTTTGATCTTCCAGATGTCCATTTCACTAAATCCAGAACGCTGGCCCATAGTTCCTCGAGTGTTGAATTTTGCCACTAGTGTTGGACTTCCATTTTTAGAGAAGGTTGTTGCACCATAGTGCATGATACTGCCATAGTCATAAATGGTTCCCAAAGTATCCATTATATTCTTTTGCTGTTTGGTAAAATCTCTAGTTTTACCTTTGAAGAAAAGAAAATTTACGTCAAATAATCTGTGAATTGCTTGGTTCATGAACTTTGTTTTCCAAACGAATTTCAAGACGGTGGATATTCAACCCAATTTTAACTTTTTATAGCATATAATCTTCTAGTAAATACCATCCTGCACATTTTCCCAGTTGACTAGTATGTAATCATCTCGATCATACCGACTTTGTTCGTGGAAGAACCCAGCAGCGTGGTTCATCTCATGCAAAATGACACCTTTGAAGTAGCAGGTGGAACCCAGAACGAGGTTCTGAGGACCAGTGTCCCGACCAATGGAGGAGTAGCATCTGGAAGTTAAAAGGGAAAAAATGAGGTAAGCGACACACAACTGAAGTAGAAATTCCACCTTCCAGCTTTTCTAACAAAACATGTTCTATGTTCTTTTTTCTTATAGAAAGCACGGGTTACTATACAAAAGAACTGTGGATTCTAGATAAAATTCTAATTTTGAAAAATTACTTTCCTAGGCATTGTTATATTCTTAGAATCAACTAAAATGCCTTATACTTCTGAAAACATATACAAGGGCGTCTATGTCAACTAAAAACTTGATTTCAATTTTTTAGTAATACATTAACATTTTTCATCGAGGAAATACATGTACACTTAAGAATTACCCCGCTCCATCTCTGATGACGACATAGTCCTCCTCGTTTGTCCTCGGTCTCCACTTCAGACAGGACTGGTCACTGTTGTACTGGTCTATTGCCGACTGTATAACACTGAGACCATAGCTACCTGGAATCAAAGGCCTTTTTATGTTGGGTTATCTCTATTTTTAAACAGATATCTCTAAAAAATACCCGGGTTATAGATACTTTTTAACTTTTAATCACATCTTATTTTCCAAATTATAAAGTAAAAGTATTGTTATAATAATGCACTTGATAAAAGAGAACTGTCCATGCAGAATCTTCAATGTTGTTTATCTGTAAATAGTGTACTGTAAACTTAAGGTAATGTTTGAGTAAGACAGTAAGATATAAACTTCTGAATAATTGTTCATGTTTCTAAACAATCTGCTGAGGTTAAACGTACTGATTCCATTCTTTTCAATAGTGTATGGTATCACGTTATTTTTCCATTTCCACATATTCACACGAATAGCATTCCTCTTCTCTCTCTGAATAAATCAAAGAACAAACTGTTTACTAACTTAAGTCAATGCATTGTATTATATGCTAGTAATTCAATGTTTCCAATTATTCAACTGTCTTTGTGATACATAAAAAACATTTTTGTAGCGTTTTACTACATATATATGTAAGTACATCTGAAATGCAATAAAGATGGAAGATAGATCAGAACTTATCTTACATACATGTATCGATGGTTGTCCTATAATGTCTCCTTCCAGCAGGTTCTCCAACATCCCTGATTCTGTGTACAAATTCTTATACAGCAATGAAACTAATTTGCTAATAGGAACATTCATCTTACATTTGGAACATTTGTATCAACCAAATCAATACAAATAATATACATTTGATAATAAGGGGTTGTTACATCTTTAAAATACTATATACCAACATTTTGAGATTAACTGCCTTTGAAAAAAATTTTTCTTTAACCTTGAAAGAAACATTGGTGGTTCTTTGAAATTTCTCCGAAAATCTCTATTTGCGAGGGGTAATCAAAAAGTTCGCAAACTATCTCTATATTTACAGAATCATATATATAATCATGCAGAGGTTCTACAAATAGCGCATGATAAGTGCTATGCTTCATGATTGGGAAGTCACAGTGTGAAGATGACGTCAGTATGTAGACGACTAGTGACAAAAATGGTTGACAGTCTTACTCGAACAACGAACGGCTATCAAGTTTAACAAATAATTTTGAAATTCCTCTGCAGTAGCATATTATAATTTGTACAAGATTTATAAAGACAAAAGACTTTCCACAAGTTAATTCATTATTTGGATTGAAGGAATTGACGGACATTTGTTCTGTCGCCCAGTGAAAACAAGCTGGAGGAGATTATGTAATTAGTTGAGCAATTTATAACGATCACAAAGTTAGAGCTGATAGTTGAATATCTTACCAAAAATATAATTTATAAATCCCTTCAATACAGTTTACTTTACACTTTAAACATATCAGATATGATTAAAAGAAGGCGACCATCCTATATCCATACTGGATAAATGACGTTCCTAGGACAGAGGACTCGGTTTGTGGTGGTCACCATGCTCTTTTTTGAAAAGGATTTTCTTATTCATCCATACTATTTCCAAGATTATGTCATTTCTGACAAATAGACTGTTCTTGTTATAAAAAAATTGCATGGAAAGAACTAGCTTAGATTAGCTTCTGTGAGAAGGAACATGTCCGCGACTGCCTGAACCACGTGATTCGTGCATGGGCAGAACTGTGGCATATGTGCATTAGTTTTGAGCAGTACAATTTAAAAAATAATGAAACTGAAATCTAATTTCAATTGTTTAATGGAAGTTAAACAATTCGCGAACTTTTTGATCACCCGTCGTACTTTGAAGTTAAAGAAAAAAAACTAGGAATTTGTAAGCCAGTTGATTTTTATCAATTTTGAAAAGAAATAATTATTAAACATTTGTCTTACCCCTGTTTGCTTTCACAATGATGTCCATAACGCTATAGCCCAGTGGTGAAGTATTTTCTTTGTTGTCGTCCTGAGGAACTGAACGTGAAATAAAAACTTTGCAATATTAAACGATTTTTATTGGTCTACAACTAATTAGCAATCTAGTTCAATCGAGAAAAATTAAAATATAAGCATTTCAAGCTATAAAAACAAAAATGTTCTAGAAATGTTTACAATGTAATACAATTTGTACATGCTTCATTATTGCTAAAAACACAAAAATATTGAAATTTTACATTTTAATCTTTCTTATTCTTTCAATTCGCCCAAATTGAAATTCAATGCAAACACATAAGAAAAGATAAATCCCAAAATATTATTCACTATCTGGATAATGATTTTTGCATGAATAATTTTCATTCTTATATAAATATTCATCAAAAAGAATCCAATATATGCATTTTTGAAGCTGAAAACGTTCATGATCCACAGATACTACCTCAAGTTCACACGATTCTTCAGTATATATATTTTCTAAAATACTTTTTTTTATTTGTTATACAGGTAGCTTTGATGGACTATGACTTTTCCAATAATAAGGTTTATGGAAAAAGATAATAAAGGACAAATTAAAGAAATAAAACATACCATAGCTAGTCCGTGATATGGCCTACAAACAAACATATGGTACTAATAATGGTTCTATAATTCAACGGGTCGTTCTTTTTTCAAATAAGAAATTAAAATATGTCTTAGTCGTGACAAAAACAAGTATAGTTTAAAATATAAATGCAGTATACAAATCCTTGAAACAAATTCATTAAAAAGCACGTTAAAAAGGAAATACTGTAAATTTTATTTTAAAAAGTTACAAGTTAACAAACTTTAAAAAAAAATTAACAATTTAACAATAATTATGTTTAATGGAATGATAAATATGACATAACTTACGTTTGTAATACAACAAAGAAAAAATACGGCAAGGTGATACATATTTCACCTTTCGTCTTCGCATGAAATGTAAACTTTTTATCTACATGTTAAACCTCGTGTTAAGTGCTTGTTTATTAATAGTTTAATGAAACATCCGTAACAATTTCTAAAGTATTAAGGGTAACTGGAGATAAAAACCTCCGCTACATGAGAATTTTGTGGGTGGACATATCAGTAACGTTTGAAAATGTCTTGTACCATGCTTCACGGTTATTTACATGTACAAAGTACTCCAATATTTCATCGTAATCAGTGAAACAATATTTTGTTAATTTCATCTTTTTCTAGCACATGCGCTTTCGAGAGTCGAAGAAAGCGCATTTTTTAAAACTAAAACATTGTGAACAAATTTACACCTAGTTACATTAATTCGTCTTGTACAGAAAAAAAAACCCGGTAAAAAAGTACAATTATTACCGTCAATAGGACGAAAATCATAATGTCATGACAGCAAAGAAAAAGTCATGAATGGTTAAAAAAGCGGGAATAAACCTTAATTTCCTTTTTCGCCCTTGTGGTCAGTCGTTTGAACTACGTCCTGTCTACATTTTATAAGATGCATGATACTATTTTTCCCCTCATTAAGTCGTGTTTACCTGTCAAGGTAGATTGCATTTGTATGTTGTTTGACACCATTGAAAACGATTGTCTCGATAATACATAACTAGCGAACTCATAATTAGCATGTACAACATGATCACGTGACAAATAATCTATATGGGAAACATGGCAACTTCCATGTGTAAAAAAAAAATAAGCATTGCAAATATGATTTAAGAACGGATCTTTTACAAACCATCAGGTAAGATTATTAGAATATTGTATTAACAATTCTCAATCATATCCTTATAATTTTTTTGGCAATGTGATAAATGTTTTTATACTGATGAAAAAAATGTCTTCTATAGTCATTTTCCGCAGATTTAATAATAATAATTTCAAGATAAATTTACGGGAAAAAATGAAATAATTAAATATAATTTTTAAGTTTCTCAAATAATCGTTCGTTATATGATTTATGCATCGGCAATTTTCACACCTTTTAATTTAGCACCACAGGGAATTACATATCAGCATATTATAATTATATTTACTTGTTTAAGATTATATACAGATAATTTTCTGTATGATATGACTAACTATACAGCAGCTCGTGTTACTTTAGTAATTTTTTTATTAATCTAACGAGTTAAAATTCAGTTTTATAATAAAAGGGTTATCTACTAGTAAGCTAAATGAGATCGCAAATAAAAAGTTAATGAGGTCACTTTGATTTCAAGAGAGTTCCAAAGGTCAACATGGCGTGTAAATTCGAAGTGAGAAAATAAGTTGAAATTCTTTTATATACTAAACATACATTTTTGAAATATGAAATATCTCAGTAGTGATCAAAATTGCTTTGACTAAGCAGTGAGATTTTTACAGTCAAAAGGCACACTAATCCTTTTCTTTGTAATTTTCAAACCCGCGCATCCTCAACGTTTTCATTCAGGGTTAACTAAACACCGGTTTTGAAAAAAAATAACCGTAGCTTCGAAATTTATTTTAAATCAAATCCTTTAACGCATAAACTTTCAGAAGACCATGGGGGAATATTTCTGATGTGATTCCTTATAATTCATTTTTTAACGAGATCTTTCAAAGCCTGGTGATTGGAGATAAATATTCTCTTTCATCCCTATATATATTCAAAAGTCCTTTAAAATGCATTTTTCATCGATTTTCGAATTATTTCAGAGATGAAATGGAGGGAATTGGCAGTTTGGTATGGATTCATCTTGACTCCTTGCATCGTGTCAGCACAAAGAAGTAATTATACCTCTTTTTCCCTTTCTTTCTTTTTCTCTATTTCTCATCCAAGATTCTTTACCTAATATATTAAATTTTGCAAATAAATGTTCTTAAATTCATCATTTAAGCAGACACCGGTCCAGAGTTTGGATTTGCCCAAGCTTTGAATATCGGAGGCAATATTGATCCAGATCCATTTGGGACTGAGTCCGCTTTTAATCCAGTGCCAATCCTTGACGATCTAGCTAATGTGCCACTAGATTTCTTGGGAGGAACAACAATGAGGCCTCCAGATTTCTCCTTAGAAAGGATATTTGAGAACATCACTCCACCAGACGCTTCTGCAAATGACGGTTTATTTACTGGTATAAATTCTTTCAATGATATTTTGTCACCAGATGGAATGGTCGACTTTCAACTTCCACCAGGAACAAATGGAGATGTCTTCCCTGTTAACAACTCAAACTCTATTCCAGACACTAGTCAAACTAGCGGTGAACCCGTTCTTCCAGAGCTTCCCGATTTACAATCAGTGATGTCTATGCAATCCCCGCCTTCGTCTCAACCAAATTCCCCGTCGGCCACCACAAACCAACAAGAGATTAATCCTAATTCTTTACCACAGAACTTTCCTCCTGGGCAGCTACCAGTACCGAGTAGACCCAATGCCCCTTCATCTGTTATAAACGACTGGTTATCATTTACTTCAGACCAGACACAACGACCCCAGATAAATAATCAACTAATTAGAGATGCTACTGATTTACAGTCTACATCATTTACTGGTGATCAAAATTTAGGAGGTAACATAGCAATTAATGACAATCAAATCTCTGGAATCAATAATGGACAGAATGACATGTGGTCAGATAACTCGTTGTTTAACAATCCAAATCTAGGCGATCCGTCCGATATTTTTGGAAATATGAACATTCCAATCGACTTTCCCATTGAAAGAAATTCTGCACAAAGTGGGATAAGACAGCAACAGAGACCTTCTCTTCCTTTACCTGAAATAAATACAAATCAGAATCGTGCTCTTCAATTGTCAGTTCCAGAAAACCAAATTACCGGACCGTCTGTGAACAGACCATTTTTGCCACCATTTAATCCTCAAAGCAGGATTCCATCGGGATTCGCGTCAGGTCCTAACTGGAGAGAACCCACTGAACCTACACCACCAGTATTTCAGGTGGGTGGAGGACTACCAGCCCAAGAGACTCAGATTAACCCTGCCCGAAGAATCGACCCATTAAATGAACAAATCCTTATAAGAGATGTCTTCCGAGATTCTCCCTCGTCAGCACAAAATAGCAGAATCAGGTCTAGGAATCTAGAAAGGGAAAATTCTATCAGCAGTCAAGCTCGAACACTGCTTTCCTCTCCAATGCCCATTACTCGTCCATCTCGCGTCAATATGCCAAGTCCTCGACAGATATTTGCGAGCCGCCAACAATCTCAAATACAACCGAGAGCTGGTTTAACGGCCTTTCCTCAATCTTTTGCTGCTCGACGATCCCCATCACTGAATATATTTCAGGGAACCCCAACAAGGCCAACAAACATACAGATGAGACCATTGCCAAGGAACCCTTTTCTATCATCAGCAACCAACAACCAATTTAGACCAACTTTACAACCTCTTCCCCGTGCAAACAATCAATGGAATTCTGCTCGAACCGTTGCACGTGCAGTACCATTTGGAAACCAGGAAGCAGCACGCTTTATAACCGATCAGCGTAATATGAATAGAAACATGCAAGTTTGGACAAGGATTGAAGGTAGAGCTCAGAACATTGCTGGACAAACATCATTTCCACGCAACCAATTAGGGCGTTCAGACTTGGCCTTTAGACCTTCAAACCAGTTTCGTATCAATCAAAGACTACCCGAATCACTTCTCAGAGGACTTCCTATTCCTCGACAAAGGCAAGTCTTACGCTCAACTCCATCGACACCAAATACTTCACCAATCAGTTCTCGGCAACTACCATTCCGACTTCAAGGCGCTTCCCAATCACCCTTAGAAAGAAATCGCTTCCGAAATTCTCCGATGCAACCTTCAGTTACGCCTGGTTTACAACCTCGACAACAAGGGAGAGAATTCCCGATTGGAACCCAAAGATCAATACAAGGTGGGCCTCCTTTTGATCCTCTTCTCTTCCTCTCTCTTCAAGACTCTTTTCAACCTCCTCTTGACTATGAACTCTTTGATATCTTCGAAGACAATCCTCTACTCTTTCTTCAAGATCTTAATATGCCTTTGACAAGCAATTTAATTAATCCGTTATTAGAAATTTCAGGCGGACGACTGCGTGAAAATCAGAGAGGACGACAATTCCCTAGAGGACAAATTCCGAATCGAATGATTGTTGATCTGCCGCTTAACCAGCAGACGACTAATAATCCATTCGGAATACGACAAGTGGCTCCACCTGTCTCCCCATTATTAAGGAACGAAAATATTCCCTTTCTGGGTTCAGGGTTCTTTAATCCCAGAATGATGATGCTGGCTGACATAACAGTGAAACCATCTTCAAAGAAAAAAATAAAACCTGTATCGAAACAGAATGCAACACAAAATCTATTAGAAAAAGTCAATCTACAGGGTTTAAAGAAAGTAGAGTATATCAATACACCCGTGGTGAAAGAAAATAGGGTATTTTGATTTTTATTGTCAAATAGGTAAAAATGTAACCTTTAGTTTATGTAAATGAGGCGTTCCATTGTATATTTGTATTTCTACTTTTTCCATGATTTCAAAGAAAGAAAAGAAGAATGATATGTCAAATGAATTTTTAAAATTATTTATTTGAGTAAAAAGTTATTATTGAAAAAGGAATTTGCTTTTTCATTTTATTGCTCAGAAGCTATTGATCCACATGGTTGTTATCAATTAAACCTTTATCATAAATAAAACTACGTGAATTTGTTTGAAGCATTATACTTTCTTTTATTCCTTTTACAATTAATTTAGAAATTGCCTTTATTTAAAATCTGGTCAATTGATTAGGTTTTAATTTGGATTAAGGTGCATCATAAAAGGTTTCAATAGGGACATCGTGAAAAATACCTAAAATGGCCATCAAACTTTTGCTTCATACAATTGCATTTTACATGAAAGGATGTAAGGTTGGACGAAGTCATTTGCTATGGTTGTTTAGAGTGTTAGAACTATTCTTTTCAATTTGATTATGCGTGGCTGTATCCTATCGCGACTTGTGAATACCACAGCACGCATGCACAGTCACCCTTCTACGGAAAACAGATCAGAAGTACGCGCCTATAGAGAGATGCAAACATTTCAAAATGAAAGTTTGTCATAGGGATTTGTTTGTAATTTTCCTGCCTTTAATTTTGACACTTAGTGGTAAGTTACATAAACTTATGGTTATTGGAGATAAGTTATATTTATATGCTTCTTGTTTTTAATGGAAACTTTATGAACCATTTTAATTTTACTCCATAAGGAAGTGTCAATAAAAATCTTTTCGCAAGGAATTTTAAAGAAAATACTTTTTTTTTTTAAAAAAAATTCATAAACTTCTTTACAAGTTTAATTGAAATGAAAAATGGACTTTCTAAAGTTAATTTAAAGCAAATCTGTTGTATCACGGTTACAAATGTAATATTTTATGCATAATTGCCAGATTTTGAGATGTAGGGATTAATTCTAAATTCAAAGATAGCAATCAAACGTTTTCAAAATAATAATCCTAAATAACCAAGATTTTTCAGCTTTGTTTTCAGTTACTCTAAGTAGAAATTATTTCCTGTGGCATGGAGTGCCGGAATGGAGAAACAAGCTAGCCCTGAAAGACATCCTATGGCAATCACGGGAGCGAAGTAAGATTTTCTGCTCCTACCGTTGCCTGCAGGACCAGTCCTGTGTTTCGTTTTTCTACCAGAGCTCGACAAGGTACTGCCAGGGCCATTCCTCAGTGTTTCTACGCCTGTCTGATGCAAGTAGCCAAGATTCCCCAGATACAATGTATTACAAAAGTAAGTTGTTTTTGCTTGTTTTGTGATGGAGGTAGGCACACAAATGACCCACAATTCTATATGAAATCTCACTCCTCATAGCCATTGGTCTGAACCAAGATCTGAGATTTCCAGTGGTTCTTGTTTCATGCCCTGTTCACAGATTTGTACTGTTTGGAGGCTTTTATTTTGGACTGATCACTGTGTGTTATCTTTATCTATTTCACTGATGAAATAACAAGTAGTATTCCTTCCAGATTTTAGTAAATTTGTTTGAAATTGTTTGAAAAGCCTTAATCAGCTTGTAAAGTCTTTTCATTGGTAATCAGTGATTACATTATATTGTAAGCTTTTCTTATAATCTACAAAAACACTGAACAGATTTGATCTTCGTTTATTTATAATACATACAAGTGTTGGAAACAATACATTTCAACAAACTGAATCCTTTATTATCAATGACTTACTAGTATTCTACAAGCACAGTTAAAATTGTGATAGTTTTAAATGACAGATGCTTGTTTTATTTTAATTCAAAGTGTAACTGGAAGCAACATGAGGGTGCAAAGTGACCATTTTATAAAATGGCCTCAATGCTGATGAAATTTAGTCAAATCTGAGATAAAAAGAGAACACAGCCTTGCCTACCTTTATCTGAAACCAGAGATTTTCATACAAATGGTGTATATCATACTAGTTTGTGAAATATATTTTAGTTGATACTAAATAGGCAACCTTTTTCTCTGTGTTTTCTGAAACAAAATGCTTCAAAATTAATGAAAAGATGAATACAATTTAAAATTTAGTAAATTTGGAAAATAATCAATTTTTGTGACCTTCCTGTGATTTCTCCATACCCTGTAACTTAAAATCAATACTTGTTTGTTGCAAGGATGATACTTTTTTTTTTGAGGGGTCAAATAGTTTGTGGTTTGAAAAAATATAACGGGGTATGGGGATTTGATTTTGTGGTTGAAGAATTGTTCAGTAATAATACATGTGAAAAATTGTATTTCGTGGAGGACATAAATCTGTGGGTCTCTTCATACCTTGAAAACAATGAAAATTAAACCCCATGAGAATTAGTGATTTCACAGTAACTTACAGGATGTTAAGTTGAGGTATCACAATGTTAGAGACACCCCAAACCAGGGACCAGAAAGGGGCCTTAGCCTATCTTGTTCTTTTATGAAATTATAAAATAATATATTTTTAAAAAAACTTTTTTATTAAACATCCATCACCATTCAAACCTCTGACAACTTTTTTTTTTATATCACAGCACACTCTGAACAAAAAACAAACAATGAGATCAAGTAATATTATGAATACAAAAAATACACAGATCATTAAACAAAATAAGCCAACAAAAATGCCACTAAAAGGCATAGTGGGATTGCAAAGCATATACCGGTATATACTGTAGAAGTATTTTTTTTCTGGTGGTATTAATTTACGCTATGTACGCGGTCACAAATTTTCCGCAGAAATTTGTACAAGCGTACTTAATATAAATATAAGGCATATAGTGACAGTCTGAGAAATCCACGTAATTTTCAACCCGCGGATTAAATGGAAATTGAGATTCCGCGGAATTATGACCCAGTGGAAAAAAGTATGTCTACAGTATATACATGTATAAGATAAATAAAATGACTTAGCAAATGTTAAGCATTAAATTAAAGCTATTTAATGTATTACATATAAAAATTAAAAAAAATAATTGCAAATGTAATGAGGAAAAACTTTTCCTTACTGACTTACTCAATCCATAAAATCAGAAGAAAAACAAGGGCACCGCAAAGCGTAGCAACCCCTGGCAAAGAGCACATATCTATTGTATATAAATCCAGATAGGATTAGATATGGGTCCTGATGCAAATTAAATTACAAATGCAATACTGTATCCCCTCCCCTTTGAGGGGAAAATAAGTAAAGGTAAATTACTATAACATTAAATGGTTTGTGATTTGCACATAAGCACAAACACACACTCACTAAACATGCTAAATGCTTCAGATCAAGAATGACTGGAATGTGAAACATGACTTTGGTATATAAATGACAGTAAAACTTTAAAAAGTTATTTCATGTATTTCAAAAAAAAAAAAAGAAAAAAAAAAAGACAGAGACAATGTCTATGCCTCTAAAACAATTAAGTATTTGAAAATAAGATACAAAATGTATGGCACAAGTTTACCAGTATTACACAATGCCCACGTACTTCTTATTTGAACATCTTTTACATAATGAAGTGTCCTTACAAAATACAAACATTACCCTCTGTTGAGAAATAAATCAAAGCTTTGGAATCCTGTTTTCTTAAAGCAAAAAATCAAGAACAGAAAGGAAGCACACACACACACACAAATCCAGTTCCTTTGTGATTTGAGAATGCTTCAGCTTTGCAATGAACACTTTAATGTCCTACCCTGGTTATGTCATTTACACATACTTTCATAATATAATCAATGGAAATTGTGTTTGTTTGGAGTTCTCTGTAAGCTTCTTGAAAGAAATCTGCATTTGAATATCCATGATCAGAAATAAAACATGGAATGAACTTGGTGTGTGGTTTGCCATTTCCTAATCTAATGAGAAAGCTGATATCGGAGGGTGCGATTCCAACTTTCTGTGCGACAATACCTAGATAGACATCATCTTCTCTAAAGTGAGGAATATAGGGAATAACTTTTTGAAATATATTTATAGCAGCTTTGTTAAAGAAAACTGTTCCGGAGGGTATGTATGGAGGAAAACAGTCAAAGGGATAATCTTCCCATGACACATAATGTTTGTTAGTGTAATCACGGGTGGGAAATGGTTTTTCCACTAGATATCCACTATAAAGATAATCCACATTACTGCTGTCAACAGAGCTAAGATATCTTAAACTGTTTTCCATGTTAACAAACATATCATCATCCACAAATAAAACATACTTTGCAGAATTACAATATTTTGTTATCCAGCTAAATGCCATCTCCATTTTGTAGGTGTTGCTCCAATAATTATCCTGGAAATCTTCTTGAATTATATCCTTGAACACTTGATTTTCATATTCTATTGACGCCTGCTGGACTTCTGAATATCCAAGAATAAAAACCAGACGTCGGTTTTCTGATTTGGCTTCTTTGCCCCATGTTTGTCTTATGTATAGCCTATTCTTGTAGTTATGCGTTGCAGATTTTACAAGCGTTAGAAGGTAAATGTCCTCGTTCTTTTCACACACTGTATTCGCCACAAATTTATATCGAAAAGGATGAACGTTTAATGGATCAATACTAATGTTGTTCAAGTTTTTGAACTTGTAAGGAGTGTAACCAAAATCAGTTTCACATCCAAAAAAGATTTCATTATTTCTCACTGAAAAGCACTTTGTCACAATAAATATCACAAGTCCTATGCATAGAGTTTTGATTTGCCATTTTTTATGACGACAAAATTTTCTGATGAAGATGGATAAGATGGCTCTCCATATTCTGTAAAGAGAGAACCTGTTCATGTTACTTTCAATTTTAGTGTTTGTTAAAGATGTCTGTTAATGGGTTTATATGGGTATTTAAAGATCTGCCACTTTCATATTTGCACTTTTATACACCAGAGATATTATTTTAAATTTTACACTTGCTATTCATAAGATTCCATTTGAATTGCAAATTAATAATAAGAAAAGATTCGAATATATTGCCATTTTCTCTTTTTTATGATTTTGACAGAACATTCTGCATACATTGGACAACTGCAAAAATTATCTATTGTAAAGCACCATACTTCATTTCCAGTAGCATGTTATATATTGATATGTTTTTATCATTGAGTAATACCCTAATGGGGAAAGGGGGTGGATATTTACATGCATATATATTGTGTTAATGCAGTATGCTTTTTTCTATTTGGTGTGGTTGTCAGCAAGGTTTGATTGCCAGTGGCCAGATAGCTCAGTCAGTAGAGCACCAATATGAAACTGGATAATTCAGGGGGCCCAGGTTCCAATCCTGGTCTGATCTGTTGCATTTTTCTCCTCACCTGTGCCATGCCCTGGAATCGACAGGTGAGAGGCCTGCCAGGGATGAGCATGGATTAGGGTCTTTGAGGGACCAAAGACCTTTAAGGAGGGAGGAATGTGGCAGACAGTCGGGTTGAACACCAGTGGCCAGATAGCTCAGTTGGTAGAGCACCTGACTGTAGAATCAGGGGGACCGGGTTGGAATCCCGGTCTGGTCGGTTGCATTTTCTCCTCTCCCGTTACATTTGGTGCCGTGCCATGCCCTGGAACTGACAGGTGAGAGGCCTGCCAGGGATGAGCATGGATTAGGGTCTTTGAGAGACCAAAGACCCTTAAGCAGGGAAGAATGTGGTGGTCAACCGAGTTTGATTGCTGGTGGCCATATAGCTCAGTTGGTAAAGCACCTGACTGAAGATTCAGGGGGCCCAGATTCGAATCCTGGTCCAGTCCACTGTAATTTTCTCCTCTCCCATTACATATGTAATTCATATACAATTAACATAATATTGGACTGGATAGAGAATATGTTACTCATTGAGAATGGTAAATACTTTACAACCCTAGCTACCACTTCATGTGAACATGGTGAACCAATGACAAGGAAAAAGTCTTTTCTAAGAGTTTATTTAACAGTTGTAAAATTATTAGAGAATACAAACAATGATCGTATAGTGGTTAAGAGCAAAGAATATGACACTTATCCTAAAGCGGCTAGTGATCATAAAGTGTCTCACGATCCCTCCTAGAACGTTGCTCCGAAGAGCCCCGCTCTGAGAAGTGCGGCCCAGAGGAGAGCGAGAGAATGAGCGCCTGGTAAAGTTAGACTGTCATTTTTATAATGTACAATACATAATAAATGCTCATTTATATATGAAACAAACTGATCAGATTCAAGTAAACAAGTTATTCAATAAATTTGGTCAAAATCCTAGAACTTTATAATATAAACATAAGCTTCAGTTCAGTGTTCTGGTATTGTGCAAAAGTTAATATTATGTTAAAGTACCGTAAGTTTTTGCAGTGTTTCGCTACTGTTCCTGTATTGATGTCCGAAGATAGATAAACATCCTGGTTGATTACAGTGTCCTTCATCTGATTAACTGGTTTGTTTACTTTTATGGAAAGGTATTACACTTTCACATCCTGACTGGATTATAGGTCAGTGCACTCGATCATGAGTACATTTTAATAAGCTTATTTTATTTTCTTGATTAAAATAATTGTCTCAAACCCCATAGGTTTACATTCATCTTTTGTGCTTTCTATTTTGAAATAATAGCTTTCTCAAAAAAGTCAAGTTCTCCAAAATTAATTACCGTTTACATATATGTCCAGCCTCCACGCAAGTTGAAGGACCTCCTGGAATTGTTTGTGTAGAGAGACCAACGAACTTCAACATAGTGTATTCTCATCTTTCACATTTGCACCGTTGGGTGTTGAAAATATCATCACTCAATAGCTTCGCACTGCTCTAAGATAAAAAAAAATTAGCTATAAACTGAAAATAAACTATTTAACTAGTTGTAATAACAACGTTTACTTGTTTACAAGGGATTTCAGTGCATCAACACTGATTTCACTTAACGAAAAAATTATTAATATAGGCAGGTTTACAAAATTCAAAGTTCATCAATGTGATAAGGATTATATCTGTACAAATATGCTATATTAATTAACATATCACAAGAGATTTTTTGAAACATTTCTCTTACGAACTTGATACCCTTATAAGTACATTTTTAAAAGCCAATAAATCTTGCACCGCAATCCTTACCTCGGGGAAGTAAAAGTAGCATGATACTGATGTGTACTGTACCGTTAAAAGTATGAATAAACAGTTATTTACCTATCACTATGGGCAGACAACTACAATCAGTTAAATACTATTACCCAAGTTTTTCTGGACTGAATTCCGTAAATATCTTCCAAATTTTAAAAAAAAAAAAAAAACAAAAAACAAAAAACAAAAAAAACGATAAAATAAAATAAAATAAAATAAATAAATAAATAAATAAATAAATAAATAAATAAATAAATAAATAAATAAATAAATAAATAAATAAATAAATAAATAAATAAATCAAGCAAGCAAGCAACCAATCTATCAAGTATAGGTTACATCATAGAAGCCGCGCCCTCGATTTCCACGCCCCATGAAAACGATATAACCAATACTACTCGGCTTCTATGATGTAAGCAACTTGTCGCATGTCTGATGACGTAAATTTCATTGAGAGTGTCAAAATTCAATAATAAAAAAAAGATTCATTTCAAGCTAGCTCTCCAACATGTCGGACGTTCTTAGTGAATTTGACTTTGAGTTTTTAACTGAGTTTGAAGATTTTGACAATTTATTTTTGAGCCAGGCACTCGACATATATGAAATCACAGAAACAAATAGCAAGGAGTTTAACGATAAAAAGTTTGGAGATTTTACCGTAACTTTCAAATTTTCAAAATGGATTAATCTTTTGAACGACTGGGAACTTTCAACCGAGTTAAATACATGTATTTTAATTTAGTTAAAGGCTAAGAAATAGCTATACACGTTCATTTTTCTGTGGTTTTCAGTGATATATGAAGGGGCGTGGAAAGTATTATCGCATATGTGATATGGGATATATCACCACAGAAAGATCAAAGAAAATCACCGCAGATATGCGACAATATATACATGTATCTACTTTTTAAAGGGATGATCCAGATAACTAGGTATACCGTATAGCTGACGAGATGGTTCCAGTAACTGGCAATGTGGACGCAATTTTTGCAACGATAAAAAAACTTCAAAATTGGGGAAAAATTGCTGATTTTTGCGTGTCATTATTTTGGGTTTTTTGTTTTTGTTTTCCAGTTGCATGTAAAGGGGGGCCTTCCTACATCTATGTCCGTGGCGCCAACACCTGCTACAGCGTGAAAGAGAAAAGAGGATCGTGGTACACGGCTCAGGCTGATTGCGGTTCCGAAAATGCTTGGCTTCTGGATTTGAGTAACGATCGAATTTCGTCTCAACTAATGAAAATGTTCAATGATCATCCCGATCCTTGTATGTAACTTCTATTTATAAAGCAGTTTTTTTGTTTTAAATTAAATATTTTCCAGGAATATGCAATTGACAGTATTAATTCCAACTTTTGAAGACCAGAAACACAATCTAAAACAGAAAGTTCGTGCCTACAGCGGAAAATATACACATATTGTCTTTTATTAATTCACTCTGAAGTTGAAAATGATTATATGACAATAATCATTTTCAAATTCAGATTGAAATTAATAAAAGACAATATTTTGATTTACTGAGTATTTTGGAAATTAGTGTTATCTTTAAAAATAAACATATTTGAGCTAACATCACCTATTCAGTGGGTGAGTTTTCTGTCCAAAATTATCCAGAATCAGCTGCTCTTTACAGAATATGTGAATTTTTACAATTACACGTATTGGACTTAAGTTTTAAGCGATCGCAAATTAACCTCAAAACAATACTTAGTAATATAATTTTGACTTAGCTGCAGAACTGTAGCGTTATGGTTTTATACGTATATTAGTCGTTGACCATAACGTCAAAGACTATAATATACAAAACCATAACGCTACAGTTCTGCAGCTACTTTTGACTTTGACCTTTATTTGATCTCAAGATATAAAGTTGAAGCTTTAAAGTAATTCTATCATATGAACAATTTAACTTGAATCTAGTATATTTTATGATAATTTCACACGAATTTTATATTTTCTTTGTGCTGACGTCTCCATAGGAGTGAAAAATTCTTCTCGAAAAGAACTCTTTCACACATTTCAAGTGTTATTTAAACGCAAACAGCGATATTTACATGCTTAAAATAAGGGAATTCTTAAAAGATCCGCTCCTATAAATCCTAAATTCTCATTGGCTGTCCAAAAATAAAATCTACCAAGGTCAGTAAACATGGCGGATAAATTCAAGTTTTGATGCTGACATAGGCCTACAGGAAAAATAACAGATATATATGGATCGTTATGTAAATTTTTGGATAGATTTATGTCTTGCATAACTACATTTTTGGAATCATGTAAGAAATGTTAACAAAATAGGCATTAATATGAGCCGAAATCTGTGCGGGGGTGATTCACTCCCGCATTTGCACCATTACGGAGATCCTAAGGAGTTGTAGCCCCCCCCCCTCCCCCCCCCCCCCCCAAAAAAGGAGAGGGCTAAATCACTGCAGCTATACTATACCATGCCATACTCTTCATGTTTGAAAGAAAAACCCTTTGTAGGTCAAAAGGGTCAAGGTCAAAAGTTCATATAACCATGGTTTACTGGTAATAATTCCAAATTCTCATTTAGGTTTTGAAATGACAATTCATATTTTAAGTCAATATATAATTAGCAATATTCCTAATGATTTGAGGTCAAATTTATATATTTTAAAATGCCTAGATATTTTTCTGGCAATAACTTAGTCCTCTAAGGGATTTTGCAATGAAGGTCAAGGTCTTTTTTTTCAATATTTGCATATATTTATCCAGTCTTCTACCCTCTTCTTTTTCCTAAAGTGGCAGGAAAAAAATTCAAACAAGTTTATTTCAAATAATACTACATGTACATGAAAAGTGTCTTCCTTTATTCATTTTCTCTCTATGTAATGAAGACTACAGTTATTCAATAAAAATTATAAAAGTTATTTTTACATGTGGGATTATTGACATTTATTGTTGACCTTGACCTTCTGACCTTGTACTTTAGTAGTTGAGCCCAAATTCAATAATTTTTTTCTTCATTTTAAATATTCACTTGTATGGAATTGACTTAATGTATTCAAATCATAAACTAATATAAAAATGCTGACATTGAAGCAGATGAAGTAAGAAAAATAAAAATTATTTAGTTTAGTTTATTTGCATCATTGAATACACACACACACACTCACACACACACAATACATTACAAAAACTATAGTTTATACACATCTTACACCCAAATGTCACACATAATTAGCTTTACTCCAACTTTGCTTTTCATTTTTGAAATCCCATCATCTCAAGCCATGGTCCGGAGTCTGCATATAGCTCTCAGGAGAAGGTCATACATTTTGGTCATGGTTTGCGACGATGCTGAAACCCCTCCCTATTACTCCTCTATTTTCTTCATTGCAGATTTTGCCTACTTTTGGTTCTGGATTGGATTGACCATACAGTCAGACGGACACTTTATTTGGAGTCATTCACAACAACCACTAAATGGGTCAGATTTTTGGTTACCAGGGCAACCAGATAATGCTACTGGGAACCAGAACTGTGTCTACATGAGGAATCATGATGGCCGATTTCTTTGGGATGATATAGACTGTTCGATGGAATTTATCGAGTTCATTTGTCAGTCTGATGTTGTTTAAATCTCACAAACCAAATCCATGTTTATCTTCCAAGATATCATGATGCCAAGTATAAAACATATTCACTGAATAAATTAATGGTAGTCACTCACAACTCATTAGCTTTATGATATAATGATGTCATGTGTAAAACATTCACTAAATAAATTAAGGCTAATATAACTATAATTCACAACTCCTTTGCTTTGCTGCTGTGTATGCATACCTCCATGATTTTTTCAATTGTTAAATTTTTGGAATGTGTCTCATTATAAGCCGATTGAAACATTTCTAATGTGGTGTATCCATGATCAGAAATCAAGCAAGGCAAAAACTTGAGATCTGATCTATTATCACCTAGTCCAATGAGAAAATTAATTTTTGATGGTGTAACTCCAGCTTTTTGAGCAACCATGCCTAGATAGACATCGTCCTCTCGAAAATGGGGAATATGAGGAATGAGTTTTTGAATTTTTTGGATGACAGCCTTGCTGAAAAATACTGTTCCTGATGGTATGTATGGAGGAAAACAATCCAGTGGATAGTCTTGTCGGGAAATGTAATGCTTATTAAAGTAATCCCGTGTGGGAAATGGTTCTTCCACCAGGAGCCCACTGTAAAGATTCTCCACTTTTCTCTCATCCACTGAGTGAAGATATTTTATAGTATTTGGCACATTTAGATACATATCATCATCTACAAACACAGCATATTTAGCATTACCACAATGTTTTGTTATCCAGTTAAAAGCCATTTCCATTTTGTACGTGTTGCTCCAATATCCATCCTGAAAATTTTCTTGGACAATGTCATTAAATTGTTTAGACTCAGATTCTACATGTTTCTGGTCTTCTTCATTGTATCCCAGGATAAAAATGAGTCTCCTATTCTCTGAGTTACTTTCTTTTCCCCAAGTCTTTCTGATACACTGTCTTTTATAAGAGTTTTTAGTAGCAGACTTTACCACAGCTAGAAGATATACCTCCGGAATTGCATCACACAAGGAATCTGGTAAAAGTTTTAACTTAAATGGGTGAATGTTAACGGGACTAATTGTTATATTGTCTAAATTGTCAAACTTGTATTTGGAATATCCATAGTCTTTGCTACATGTGTAGATGTTACTTTTGTATATCATGTGTCCAAAGTAACAAACACTTATAATGCACAATATTGAAAGACTAAGAAATAGTCGATTCAAATTCCTAACGTTTGAGTAGCTATGGATGAGGCTATGAATTCGCATGGCTGGGACAAGCCTGATGGATCTGAAAAAAATAAATTGGTCAAGTCAATCAGTTCACAATTATTAAATGTTTATGCTTTCGAAAATGTAAGTATCTTTTTTAAAGAAAAGAGAAATTCAAATGGTGTGCAACATGCTGAGACTTGTATGTGCAGGAAATACAAGTGTAAATGAAAAAGTATTTGTCATCATGAGCAATATTTTTAAAAAGAGCAAAATAATGCTTTGACTAATTACTACTACATAATACTTTTGGAAAATAGAGTCCTATAAACAGTTGATAAATATTGAAACCAACTCAGATTTACCTGCAAAATTTAATAACACATCTAAGTAACATCATGACTAAGGTTTAAACCTAATGTGAATCCTGGCAAATTAAACCGTTTCTTTTGTTAACCCAGAAAGCAATTCGCGGTAAAAACGAGTGCAGAGTAAGTTATATTGTGCAGTACATGTACACAACAAGGTCGTTTCCTGTCCTGCTCCATCCAAATCGTAATTATGGAGTTCATATAAATATAGATTCAGTTGAAGCCTTATTAATTGTGATCATTTGTAACTAGATATATCTGATATACCTCAAACAAAGCTACACACCTCGCTGAAAACTTTTATCACCACATATGTACACACACAGTCAACCCGGAACCAAGTAAATCGAAAGTACGTGAAACTATTACTCAAAACGTTTCGTCAGAGCATCCGGAATTTTTCAAAAATCTGCTATTTCTTAGGCATTACAGTGATTACTATTTGTTTGCCATGTAAAGTGGGAGAATTTTGTCACGTAAAGCAGAAAACGAAATAAAGTCGTTTATCTACATGTAAGCGCCAAAGACTTTACGTAAAATGTTCCTGTATATAATGCATTTCTATTCGAAATCAGTCAAAAATATTTAATCAAATTCTGTTTGTTTGTGTCATGTATCCTTAAAAATGGATTTGATGCCCCCGTAATCGAAGATTCGAGGGTATATATTTTAGTTTAAAATATATTTTATTCATTAAGAAATGGATTGAACAGCAGGCATAAATGCCTATGATCGTTCTCTCCATAGGTCAAGGTACAATTACAAGTACATGTAAACATTGAAAAAAAATGTATGAAGAGTAGATTATCAATTTGTACATATTTAGAATTAATTCAGAGAGAGAGAGAAATGAATAGAAAAAAAAATAATTTAACAAATGGATAGGAAAAATAATAATTATATAATCAAATATAAACAACAGAAAAGGAAAAAAAAAACAAAAATATATATATATTGTCGTGTCCGTTTGTCTGTTTGTCTCTTTCTGTTTGCCCACAGAAACTTGACTCTTGCCAATAATTTTAAAGTGGATGGGACTATATGGATTTCCTATTTGACAGGTGTACGTATTCCTTTTGACATGACCTATCTCCGGGTACCACCAAATTTGACCTCTTCAACATGACCTTGGAGAGTTTTACCTACTTTTACAAAAATACCAAACGTTCACCTTGACCATAACTTTTGAACAGGTGTTGCTGGACTTTCATACTTCATATGGTTATCTGTTGTCGCAAGACATTTCAACGGGTATGATAATGTTTTGCCTTTCAACCTTGACCTTGAAGTTTGACCCACTTTTGAAAAACTTTATCTAATTTTGGCCAAACTTTTGAATTGTTAGTACTAGGGTTTTCATATGTCTAGGGTACATGTACATTCCTTGTGACAAGGTCTTCTTTTGATCTCTAGACCTTGACCTTGGACATTGACTGGCATTTGAAAAAAAAACTTCAACCATCGCTAGTAGATGCCATACAGTGGCATCAGTGTTTCACAAACAAATTTTCTTTTATCTATGTATTTTATTTATTATAGTGAAATATTAATGTTTTGTCTATATAATGTGTCGTTTGACCCATGCAACAGTGAACAGAAGAAGCCAACAAATTCAGATTGAATAGAAGTAGAAGTCAATGGTTGTATCCGCCAAATTTTTTTTTTTCGCTGTCCTTCCACTCGACAAAAGTGTGAAAAATAAGGCATTCCAACTTCCTTATTGAAGACGTATCACTACATAAAACACTCCGGAAATATAGATATTTTTCTTTAGCTTCAATCCTTATAGGACTAATCACACAAACCGACAATTCTTTTTTTCTGTACATATAATAGTAGTTCCCGAAAATTAGGAAGAAAAAGTTCTTTTAATTTTAAGAAGGGCGCGAGCTTATATAATAGTATATATAGGCCTACTTTATTTTCAGATAAACAAGTACTTTGACATCCCGTTGACTGAGGTCCACATTTCCTTTCGTATCATACCAGGAAGTTTATTCTTTGAAACAAAACTCTCAAACAACTAAATTGACTTATTTTAATTACATAGAGTCATTCATTATACAAGTTTTATTACAATGAAAATGGAACTTTCGTTTCTCTTAACCATTCTTTTGTGGATTTACCAAGTATCAACAGATAACCATTTTTCAGGTAATAAAAATTAAATTTCATACTAAATGTATGCAAGACATGTATGAAATATGCGTATCATTTCATGTACTATTCGAACGGTATATAAAATTGTTTACCCCGGGATAAACGGTTGTAACTGAGATGTAGTACAGAGTTTGCGGGACTATCTTTAAATATGTTTGTTAATGTCCTCTCCCGACGTAGTCAGGGTAAAAAAGTTGGGTCGGTAAGTATAGGTGTGTATTTAGAGAAAAAAAATCATAGTTTTACAAAGATTAAAACGTTTAATTTTAGCCAGTCAGCCGGGAGAGGACAAACAAATGTTTTTGAAAGATGGCCCGGGTTATGTCCCAGTCAAAATAAAGTGGTAATTTCGATAGGACTACAAAAGCAGTACCCTTGTTCAAAGTAAAATATAAAAGAGATGCTAGTTGATGAATCAAGTGGTTTATTTTGTATTTGTAAATTTAATTCATATCAATTCCGGACATAATTTTGATGACTATTAATATAATGTTGAAACATGCAGTATTAATTGTTTCCTGCAATTGATATAGTGAAATATGAAGTAACTTTCAGCATTAATTTTCAGTCCAGACTACGTGTACACCACCATCCAACCGGCGTAATGAAATCGACATCAGTTGTACTGTATGTGGGTTCAGTGTTCTAGATTTCTTTAATTTCGAAGTAGAATGGCATCTACAAAAAAATCAAAGCATTATTAGTCCAGCTAAAATTACACCTGGTAATCTAGAAGGTAACGACACGAAGTACACGTGGGAATTCATGTTGAATGATGTCGACTGCGAAGGAAACAAAACAGTCTTCAAATTAGTTGACCAAAGTAAGCAAAATTAAACATGTAATCTCTTCATGATAATTTCTGAGAAAAATCTAAGATTTATCATTATTCTAATATAAATTTTCAAAAGTCCACTGTTACATCTTTAAAAAGACAAAGATTTACATATTGTATTTTTCTTTGCACTCTGAAATATACTAAGGCAACTTTATACATGAACCATATATATAAACATGATTCTGTGTTAAAACACTCATGACACTGAGATACTGTTTTATGTACGATCCCTTTTTTGCAGAACCTACTTTCACGTCACTCGGCATTTACACTTGTTATGTAACTCTAAACGGAAGCACAACAAAGCAAAGCAGTGTTGATCTTTCTTGTAAGTAGTTAGTATCCAAGAAGTGCTGATTAAAAAAAACACCACAAAACATTATAAATATTTTTTGTCAATTCCAGACAACTATAAAGAAATTTCTATTATTATTGAGGATAAGGTATACCTAATCTTTTTCATCCTCCTGCAACGTATAGATGGAAGGTGTATAGTTAGTCACGCATTTGTTTGTGTATGGGGATATTAGTACGAAAGCCCCATTATATATGCCTTTCAAAATCAATCGTTATGAGAGAAAAGGCGTCATTAAGGTATGCCTTTACTCAGATGACTAAAAATTCCACTGATAAAAACGGAAAACCACCTATTGTAAATCTATAATTCTGGTGTTAAATTTCATTTTCAAATTATAAAGTCTATAAGCTACTTTTCGTGTAAGTGGTCCCTGAGTATTTCGCGAGAAATACCTCAATTTTTCACACTTTGACCAATTTTTTCTTCACTCACAAAATATGACAAGTAACAAAACTATTTAAGGTAGTTCTACACTCGGCACTAAATGGGCTCAATCTGAAAAAATCTACTTTTATAAGATAGACATACATCCCAGCAATGGATAGACGCA